GGTTAATCTTGCGTTGGGCTAACATCCCATTTAAGGGGTAGTAGAAGTACTTCTAACAAGCACCGGCTGGGTTACTAAGCTCGAATACAGACTAAACCAAACTTAACCCAATAGACTAATTTCTATTGGTGATACAAGGGTTGTTGAACGCCCTTTTGGTGCATTTCAACTGGAGAAGATTCTCTCCTTGAGCTTTGTTTCGTGTATTTTTTTTCTTTCAAGGTTTGGTTATATCCGGGATACACCTTATGGTTCAACGCACGTGAGTACGCCGATGATGCAAGTGACGCCAGTGCAGTGTCGAGAGAACGACTACGTGCACACGAGCGGAGTTGCCTTTGTCCGAATCCTCCTGAACTGGGACGAAGATGAGGATCCTATCGAGAGTGGTCCACCCAGGCCAGAGAAAGGGCAACTGTCGAGCTCTTCCTGGGGGTTTTATTGGATGCAAAACTATATGCTGACAAAGCGGTGGCGCTCCGCGGCGACGGGAGATAATGAGGCTGCTGATAAACTGCGGGGTGAACTGGAAGACTTCTGTGCAGATAAAGAAGGTGTTATGAGTAGCTTTTGGGAGTCTTGCCACGAAGCTGCTAGAAGAGAAGCACAAAAACGAATTGAAAAAGACGAGGCCGAAGCCAAAATGAACTATAGAGAGACGTCAGAAATAACTCGACATGAAGATAGCTACGATCCGCAAAATCTGGAGCGTGGTTAGTTTATTATTCCAATGGTAAATGTTTGATCACTCAGTGGGAAATCGTAAGGTTTAATCTCATCGTTACATCCATCAGAAATGGTATCTTGAAAGATCTGCACAGACGACGCGTTCCATTACGTTGTCGAAAAGGCTGGTAAACTGATCATACCATTCAAGGCAATAGCTCTTTGCTTTTAAACCTCCTGACAAGAATCTATGGAACAACAGAGAGAACTACGTTGGTCACCTAACGATCCCGAAGGGAAATAGTATGGTAAAGAATTTAAAAATGGGAAGGGGAGTTTCTTGAGATCTCATTTATCAATGGTTTTGTCTGCCTGTAGCCATCGTTAGCCATGTTGCTCACTTAGTATTAGGAGTCACTCCGTTATAAGTAAGTCCAAAATTAGAGTCTGAAATCCCGAATAAAATAGTGTTGTATGATTTATCTACATAAAACGTTCATCAATAATCTAAACGTTCACGATTTACTTTTGTTTAATACTTAAAATTTTGCTTAAAGAATCGATCGTCGAACTGCAGTTTATTATCGTCTTATTTGCCCAATTCGACAGAAAAGTACGCGTTAAAATTATCGTTTCATACGAAGAACCAGTAGTGAAGGTATTGACACTAGGGATGGGAAAATTATTTACTGCCCATGTATACCCAAGATAGTTATTTTAATTTAATGATAGATGTATGTAAAGACAACAGAAAATTATATTTGTATCAAAATTTAAGGTCAGTCGACCCAATATGAAACTCGTAAACTTTTGAAGGTCTCTTATCTGATTTTTGGTAGTTTAAAAAACGATCCGAAATGACTTTCCCTTTCCACCCTAAAACTAGCATTCAAATTCTCAACACTGTTTTCTTTATATTTTCCTATGGCACTGACAAGGAGAATTTGTTTGACAATCAGGAGCTTCATAAAACTGGTTATCATTTCCTTTATTCCCGTCGCCTTTTCATTTGATTTCTGTTGGTAATCACATGATTTCGAGTGCAATTTGGGATGATTAACACGAGTTAATTTTTCCAAGGCTAAACAAACTTTAAAGACCTCTCGCAAGAATAATTGAGCGTTTGTACTCTTTCTGTGTTTGGTATCGGTCGACAGCAATAACCATCACACTAAAGTTATCACGATCGTAACCCACCCCGTATTTTCGTACAAACTGTTGTGTGAAACTCATCCTGAAATTTATTCAGGGTTTCTGGTTCATAATGTTATATCCGTTTTGGAGCTAGAATTTTTAGCCAGTTGATTTTCCTTCGTGAAATTCTTTTGTTTTACGCATTCTCCTTCAAACTCTGAAACTCTTTCTCCTAACTTGTCCGCCATTTTGTTTTGGCGTGCTTTCGCGTCTTACCTGTCAATCAATTTAATTTCAACTTTCTGCACTCAATTTCAACTTTCTTCTCTGTTTGGGATTAATTGACGTGTTCTCAGCCGATGAGCTTATTGAAATTTTTGCAAGTTTATTATCAAACGTGATACCGTGAAAAGGAATTGCAAGCCAGACGCGTAATGGGATTTAAAGGATCAGATGCTGCATGTTAACAAATGTGTACAGGAGGTAACTCCGGTTTTTAATTGGCTGTTGGCCATAATCAAGAGCAAGAACGGCGAACAAATACTTGACAGTGAAGAGTTGGGGAACGAGAAACAAGGGTATCAGAGAGAGCAGGCACCCTTCAGGAGCTTCAGCGTCCCGTCCCCCCCTCTCTTATTCTAACTGTGATCTCCCTCATCCGTAGCGAAAATCCATATGTACTTATTGTTGGAGAAAGTATGTGGTATTCAAACCTTGGCCTTCGAATTCATCGACGAGCACAAAGCCCTTATAAGCTTCTGTTCTTGATCCGACTACATTTATTTACTTCCATGAGAAGCCACATTTGACGAGCTGTCAGTTAATGGATTAAATAATTAAAAGTGTTCTACACGGTGTTCGATCGTTTCAAATCCAAATGGAGAACATTTTACACTTGGGTAAATAGAACAAGACAGCTGGTGAATTTTGCGCTCGGTAGAAGGATCGATGTTTTTTGTCTTGACACGAGCTTGGGGCAGAGGAAAAAGAATCTAAGTTCCCGTTAGGAATCGAACCCCAGACCTTCGCGCTCAAAATTTACCGTCCATTTACTAAGATATCACTTCCGAAATAGCTGATCTTCGGAGTGTGCAGAACGCGCGTGTCAAAATGTGAACTTAATAATGTGGATTTTTAACTCTTAAGATCTAATTGCTTATTCTCCCTTCCAACTTCTGCACATTTCCTCGTGAATTAGTCCTAAGAATTTAGTGTTAGAACAAGATAAGAACTTCTAAACGGATAAGTTTAAGTATTCCAATTACCTGTTTGCTAGATGAGCTATTGATTTCATAGGGAGAAATTACATGTTAATCACTTCTCGGAGTTAAGGTTAATGGCCATAGTCGCTAGTGAATTTTCTCTGTAACTCAGAGGTGGAGTATCGTAGGGCGGAATCGGATGTTAGCTCCGATTTCATCATTTTCTACATTTAAAACTGTCAATGTCCCGATCTTGAATGGAAAAAAATATCTATCAGACTGGCTACCAGTCTCCCTTTGTTTCTCACATAGCTGATATCCAAAAACGTCACGCAACATTTGCAATCAAATTCATCAAGATGTCTCTTCGGCGGGCTTTGCATTTTGTCTTTAAAATTGCGAACAGAAACGAAACGATGAAATTCTATCGTGAAATTCTGGGCATGAAGGTTAGTATCTCTTTTTTTAAGCGTTCTTTCGCGATTTAAAGTTTCCTTAAATCTTATGTTTAGTACAGGCACAGTTGTGAACAGTTTCAATATCCGTGATTGTATAACTTGAACCAACAGGTAATAAAACATTACTCGTGAGTTTGAGTTTACTTGCATTGTCTTTGGCTACCATCGAACCGAATCTCGTCTCTAACAACAGTTTTAATCGTTAAACTAGTAGTTGTTTTGTCTTCCATGGATACGATTTGAACATTTAATGATTTTAGAAATGTAACAACGTGATAGTCCCGTGATATAAGAAGGAAGCCTTAAACTACCGATGTTATATGCTTTTAATAACCCGCATTTGGTTATTTCATTTGTTTATCAAAATATTCAAATCAATATCAATTTTAAGGTTCATAACTGTCATGTTACAAGGATAACACATTAGAAAACCTTTGTGAAAAGACAGCATTCTGGTCACTCCATTTTATTCATCTTCTTCTTGAGGAACTAAATTTAAGCTTACAGGCCTTACTGGTTGTCAAGAGGTTTCCTCGCCATTAACGTTTCTTGTTTTCTTTCGCAATTGTCGTAAATTGCAGTTATATTATATGAAATGGCAAATAAAACAAATAAATTAAATAAACCTATGTCCGCCGAAACTCAACGGAAGTCTTCTCAAAAATTTATTGGTATTGACCTTGAAATTTGACTGAAAAAAATTCTTAATTTTATTTGACTTACTAAGCTTAGGCCTAAGTAATTGAAAAATTGAATTTCAGCATAATTGAGAAGGCTTGAGTGACATTTCATATCATTTCTGCATTTCTTTGCGTGTTTTTTTTCTTTCCTCTCATGCAAATTTGTATCATAGCAGAGAAATAGAAGTGAGGTAATCACCCTGTTTCTACACCATCATCCTCTGCCTCCTGTCCCCTGCCACCACCCTGTCATCTCCCAGCCTTCACTATGAAAAAATTTTCTTACAATCTCTCTCCATTCTCACTCTCACAAGGTTCCAGCCTCTCTCCTTTTCTTCTCCTTCCACCAAATGCACTATTTTTTCTCTTCTCCTAAGCTCTCACCCCCATTCCCACCCCCCTCCACAGTCATTTAGCTGAGGTAGACATTATATAATTCATCTGATTGCCTGACAGGTTTTGAGGCATGAAGAATTTGAAGAAGGATGTAAAGCTTCATGTAATGGGTATTTGCATGAATCATTTTTATCATTCAAGATTTTTTTTATACCACTCCAGTGTTATTTGTGTCCCTACCCCCATTCCTACTAACACATTTTATCTAGGAATTGTTTTTCATTCCTGGTGGGGCACGTAGTCCTTTAAATAAAACTGTGTTGAAAGAGTTTGGGGGGCAAACAAGGTGTATTATGGCTTGGAAAAAATAGGGAATGAGAATCTTTCCACCTCCTCTGGACAGCTTTCAGTTTACTTTTTACTCAAATCACTTTATTTTGCATCTAAATTGTTACACAATCCTTATACAAGAACTGTATTGTTTTGCAGTTAGAGAAATTATCAAGTGTAATTGAGGGCTGTGGTTCATGTCAAACATAATTTGGCCATAATTTTACCCAAAGGATGTCAGTAATTTAGACAAGAGATTTTGAGACAATTTGCCAAATAAACTTGACCCAAAGATTGGAAATCCATCACTTTACCTTTTAAATAAAGGAAAATTAGAGATCAGAATTCTGAGATGTTACTTTTGAATTGATGAGAGTGTGGGATTCTGTTGAGTGACACTTAATATCTTAGTTTTTGATGTTCATAGATGGTTCTTTTGAAAGTTTAGTTCAGTAGCCGTTTATTGATAACATATACCAATTTGATTTTATTAATTATTTTAGACCTTATGATGGCAAGTGGAGTAAAACAATGGCAGGATTTGGACCAGAGGATGATCATTTTGTTGTTGAACTGACATACAACTATGGAATTAAAACATATCAGCTAGGAGATGATTTTCAGGTGACTATCTACCACCAGGGATATGGAACCTTAATAGCTATTTTTCCCCTGCCAACAAAAATACAATTCCTCTTCTGGGGTTAACAGGGGTAATGTGGCAGTAAGAACTCTCTCCTTCCATCTTACAGTGCTAGTTTGATTCCAGTAATAGCTGCCATTGTTTTGGTTGATGGTGTTGTAGCTTGTCCTTGTATCATGGAGCTCTTATAGATCCTTTTGTTTTCCTCCCTTTCTAAAAAATAACATGCCAACTTGACCCTTTTTTTCACTCTTTACATCTTAACATCAGTATGCATATTCTCCATACTGTTCTTTATACATTTCTTAAGGTGCTGACAAAGGGAATTTTTTTAACAATCAAGAACTTCTTTGGTTGGCAGTGATTTCCTTTGTTCTTGTTATCTTAATGTTTGATTCAGGGGTGATTTTATATGGAGAAATTACATGCTAGTCGCTCCTAGGGGTTATAGAGTTACAGGCCTGAGGTTATTCCTTGCCAGATGGTTACATCCACAGCACATCCTTAATTAAAATTTGGTGTCTCCCTAGCATCAACAAATTAGCAGACTTTTCCAAAGGAATGACAGCAAGAGTGGCTTAATTGTATACTTGAGATTAAAAAAAATATATATCCAAGAGGTTTTCATGTTCAGGAACAACCAAATAGATTATTGCTATTATAACAATAAATTAAAGTTTTCACGAATCCCTTGAGCATAGAGGTTAACCTTCAAACTCCCAGAAGTGATTAACATGTAGATTCTCCCCATTATATCCATACATTATCCATCAAAAAGGTAATAAGAATACTCTAACGTACCACGTAACACTAAGATCTAATACCAAATTCTCATAACTCATTTACGAGGAAATGTGTAATAGCTGGAGGAGAGAATGAACAATCAGATCTTAGGAGTTAAAGGGCTAAAAGTGAAGATTTTAAAAGAACTAACTAAACTGAGACCTGAGCCTTTATGGGTTTTATCTTTTTTCATACAATCATTCCTTCCTCTGTGAAAATTGACTTAAAGTTTATTGAGTATAAATTATC